AAATATTGGTTATGACAGGTAAACGTGAATTTTTTTTTTTAAGATTTTACTTTTCCTTTTTCTCCCCAAAGCCCCTGGTACGTAGTTGTGTACTGTTAGTTGTGGGTCCTTCCAGTTGTAGCATGTGGGATGCTGCCCCAGCATGGCTTGATGAGTGGTGCCATGTCCACGCCCAGGATTTGAACCAGCAAAACCCTGGGCTGCCCAAGTGGAGCATACGATCTTAACCACTTGGCCACGGGGCTGGGCCACAGGGCCAGGCCACGGGGCCAGCCCCCAGTAAATGTGAATATTTTATTCAAAATTCAAATAACATCAGGACTGACTTAAGAAAAAATAACTTTGGGACTTATCAGAGACATATTTAATAATAAAAACTGAGAGTATTATCAAATTTTAAAGCCAAATATCAGCAATCAGCTTTTTGACAATATTTTGCGGGAGAGTGAAGTGGTGAATTCATGTAGGCATGTAAGGCTACAGCAAATCAGAGCTGTTGAATTTATTCTATGCCATTACTATAGTACTGTGAAGGACTAGCGAACTTGTTTTTCAGAGCAGAAACCTAACACAATTATTCATCCCTGAAACTTAGTTTTGTGTGTTTTAAAAATAATCATCTTTTTACTCTCATAAGTATCTAGATTTAAAGCAAATAAGATTATCTTAAGACCCAATATTATGAAATATTTTCAAGCCCAAAATATAAGCTCCTTTGAAATAAGCACTACTCAATTTCATAAAGTCACCTTTTCTAAAGTAGGTGATATTAAAGGTAAAATTAAAGGAAGATACCATGATTGTAAACTGGGGGCTGGCCCTGTGGCCAAGTGGTTAAGTTCGTGCGCTCCGCTTCGGTGGCCCAGGGTTTCACCAGTTCAGATCCTGGGCGAGGACCTAGTACCACTCATCAAGTCATTCTGAGGCGGCATCTCACATAGCACAACCAGAAGGACCTACAGCTAGAATAGACAACTATGTACTGGGGGGATTTGGGGAGAAGTAGAAGAAAAAGAAAAAACGAAGATTGGCAACAGATGTTAGCTCAGCTGCCAATCTAGGGGGAAAAAAAAACAAACAACAAAGAGAAAAAGGAAAATGAGGACAAAATGAGGTAACATTAGGGAAGAAGAGAATCCATTAAAAGCTAGTTTCTTTCATGTCTATATCTTGTTATAATCAATCCAGGACAGTGATAAGGTCTCCAAAAAGTTCTGTCATACAGAAATTTTGCTGAAATAGAAAATGACTTCTTTGTCTCTTCCCCATGGAAAACTATCCTGATATTAGAGTCCTCCAAGAAAGAACAAACGTCTTTCTACAATTTATATTAAACTTTTGTTAATAACTCTTTTTTATCTAAGGGTGGGAAGCATGTCTGTTTTCTTCATTTTTGTACTTCTGTCCCTAGCAGAGTGCTGGAGGCACTGTGCACAAATGCATTCCTTCATTCAATCATTTGTTCATTCATTCAGCAAATATTTGCTGAGCACTAACTTTGTACCAGATACCCTATAAGCAGTGAGGTGAAGCACACGACAAAGGAGAGGGCCCCCCTAGATAGCGTATAGTCTAGCGTGAGAGACAGACATTTATGAAATAAATACAGAAATAATTAAGTTCCTATTGGGATGATGCTACAAAAAAGAAGTACAGATTGTGGTGAATATACAGTAGGAACTTACTCTACTTTTAGGAAGGAGGGATCAAAGAAGGTCTGGGAAGGTGTACCTGAGGAATCACATATAAACTGAGCCTTGAAAACAGCTAGGAGTTGGCCAGATTTAGGAAGGGGACGGGGACAGTCCAGGAAAGGGGATGGAACTTGTACAAAAGCCTCCAAGTCAAGTGGGAGCTTATGTATGTAGTAACTGAAAGGTCCAACAAATGACAAAGGCTGGGGATGAGGATGGAGAGCTGGACAGCAGACAAAAGATAAATTGTCAGCATTAAATACAGTTAAGAGGGTAACAGTATTTGAACATTTAAGTCATTTTAAATATTTTTCTCATGTAAAATAAATAGTCTAAGAGAACTGAGTCTTTACTCCACAATATCAAAGATGCGCAGTCAGAAGACCTGGATTATGCCTTGGTCCCACCAGTTACTAGTGGCATGGCCTTACACTTAACCAATCTGAATCTCGTCATTCTCTTTGTAAACAGGTACTCAATGATTTTACCTACTGGGAATACAACGCTAATACGCAGTTCTGTTCTTACAGGCCTTTTATCCTTAAAGAAAAAGAGACAGATGTATATGGAAGAATCCTAAGTCCTGTAAGAGATGATGTCCAAAAGCTGACACAAGGCTCCTACAAAACCCAAAATAAGAACAATTGTGGACATTGGTAAATTGGAAACTACTATAAAAATACAAGTGTACACATCACTCTGAACGCTAAATTAATATGCAGAGATCCAAAACGACCACAGTACTCCAGTATGTGACCTAAGATAAATACAGTAGAAACATCACTCCACCATTCCAACATAGGTGAAATAGCAAAACTATAACGGACCTCAGAGATGAAGAGAAGTTCGTGGGAGAACTGAAGTAAGAACAAAAACTAACACATGCTGAACAAACGCACAACATTAATTTGACTTATTTCCAAATTAACCTTTTAGTTCGAAAGCTCCTTCCACCACCTCATAGGTGTGTGTCAAAAGTCAGAACTCATTTCACACTTTGCCCCAGAAAAAGCCAATGCCTACAGTGCCATCTAGAAAATACATTACTATCACTTATGTTCAGTTTATGGACTACTTAAACTACCGCACCCTTCTACTACAGCACAGAGCCAGTCATCCTTACATAACTTTCCATTTGTTTAGTTGGTCTTCCTTCCTTGTGCACTGCTTTACTCATGGTGCTCCATTATTCCTGATTTTATTTCATTCTACAGTATCCTACCTCTCTTCTATTTTATAGGTCATTTTAATTTCCAGGCCATCCTAACTTCAATCATAGGGGAATGTTATACCTGTAATTCTAGGAAGTATTTCTGCATTCAAAAGCTAAACACCTTGTTGATAATACTAACAACTGAAGAGTTCATTCAAAACGCAGCATATTTCAGTGGTCAACTTCTACAACAGTAAACCACGAATGATGACCTGCTATCAGTAGACATCTGATTCTTACGTACAAACTTATCATGACGAAATCCTGATGTCAATGAACAAGTCTAAAAATTCTATTAAAAACTATCCAATAATAATATTCCTGAGCTATAACTGGTCATAACACAAAGTATAAAGGATAATACTGGAAAAACCACACTTTCTGCTCAACATAAATTATAAATGTCCTATTTTCCCATTCTACATGTAAAATAAGGATACTAAAAGTCACAGATGATGCTAAAAAAAATAAAACATGCAAGAGCCTGATGTTTTTATGTACACTCACACACAGAGTCAAGAAAATGAGGGAAAAGTCAACATAAATGTGATGTTACCTCCAAGAAATGCAACGTATCTTCTTTTCTAGTAAGGAGCAAACTAAACTCTCTTGTGATGCCGTGTTATTTGAAAAAAGCATAAAATACGTCTTGGGAAATAATTCCAATCCCACTGCTCTCAGTTTTACAAAATGAAGATAAAAACAGTCCTAAAGTAGGAAGAGAAAGGAGTATCTTTCAACTGCAAGGATGGGATATATCGTTTAACTGACGTCCTCCTATCTCATTATCTACCCTTTAAGATGGTAGTACAGTCCATCACTTAATCTACCCCTATTACAAGGAAAAATATGTAAATTGAAACTGAAGCTTTCTTCTTCTCTTCCGTTACCGTGCCTCCTTCTTCTACTGAGGAATCTCTCCCTGGGTCAAAAAACACCTCTTCACCTCACAAATGGCGTCTTAGAAATATAATAAAATGCATTACTTTGCAACTTCTTCACTCTTTTCAAAAAACACAACCAATCTCCTTGCTGTTTCTTTCTGGTGTGGCAGCTCTGATTCAGAAGCTGGACTACAACTGGATTAGAGATCTGGCCCTATGTGTGTGACCTTGGGCACGTCATTTATCTCCTCAGTTTCCTCATCAGCATCGCAACGTGAATGCTCTTTGAAAACAATAAAGACGCAAAGTCAGATTAGGAATCACATCTAAAATGGTTAAGCTTTTCTGCTCAGGGCAAAATTACCTACTTGGAGGAGTCATAGCACGAAACTGAAACTGAATCCGTAGATCTCTGTCAACATTGACTCTTCCTTCTACAGTTCTCCTCTTCCCTCAAAGGGCATAACCCGAGTCACCCCAAGAGCAGACTTCCAAGCGCCCCTTCCTTCCTCCACTCCTTCTCTATCCTACTTCCACAGCAGGGGGAAAACAGCAGCCCCATCTCCCCGCCCCAAGCCACACCTTCACAGGCCCCCACCCCAGGCACATCCGCTCTTTCCCGTCTCCGGTGGCCCCAGAGGCCAACCTCGCCCTTCCCCTCCCGCCTCCACCTAGAGGGGACTTCCTGGAGGCGTTCAGGCCTGAGCAGGGCAAGCGGCATTTACAAACCCGCTTTACGCCACTCGCGTAGGGTAACCTCGCTTACGCCCATAGGGCCCCGTTCCCAGCCCCGTCCGCTCCGCCTGCCGGAGCCGAGCCCGAGTGCCTCAGCCACGGCCCCTGTATGACCCCAGACCTCTTCTGCTCCGCGCGGGGCTACAGGGACTGGGACAGAAGAGCCACACCTTACCAACAACTGAGGCACTGACTTCACTTCCCACCTTTGGAGCCCTCTTCAACTCCCGGATCAATTCACTCCGGCGACGCCGGAAGGACCCGAGAGGAACCAGGCGTTGTCCGGAATCCTGCCCAGCCGGAGTCGCGCAGGGGCCTATGGGGACTCGTAGTCCCGTTCGCCGGCGTCCTTGGCAAGTCCTACACAGGCAAGACTACAATTCCCAGCAGGCGGTGCTGTGAAGCCTAAGGCGATGGGTGGGGACACTTCTAGCCAATAGTAGGAGAGTTCCCTGCCTTTGCGGGAGGAGGTGAGATGAAGACAGAGGGTGCACGGAAAGAAGAGGAAGGGAGGGGTCAGCTCTCACCTGCGCCAATCAGGGTGCAGGGTCGGCCCCGCGGGCGACTCACCCATTGTGGGGGCGGGCTGGCGGAGTAGAGGAAGGAAGGGGGGGTAGGGGGAGAACTCGAAGTGGAGAACGTGGGGTGGCTGAGTTGTGGACGCCGCGGCGGCGGAGAGGAAGCATCGCGGGAATCGTCGGGGTGGAGTGAGGGCGCGGTGTGGGGATGCGCCCCGGACAGAGGAGTAGCTTCCCCGAAAGCCGCCGAGCCCCAGGCACACCGGGCGGCCAGACCTGCGGGTCGGGGAGGGATCCGTTGAGCCTGGGCTCCTCGTGGAGGCGCCCGGACGGGGCGGGAGGCAGCTCCAGGTGTGAGGTCACGGAGTGAAGGGAGAGGGGTCCCCAGGGCAAGGGAAGCGACAAAACAGCTGCAGAAGTGCAGGACACGGGAAGGTACCGGGGCAGCAGCTTCCCGCCGCCTCCAGCCGGGGCAGCAGCAGGAACAGCAGGGGGAGGAGCAACAGCTGCCGAATTCGCCAACTAGAGGAGGGGGAGGCGGAGCTTGGGTCCCTGTAGCAGCCGAAGGCGCAGCCTGGACTGTAGTTTCCCGGGAGAGAGGAGAGCGGAGCGAGTGCAGTCCTGCGAGCAGCTGCTCCAGCATCCCGCCAGGGGTTGCAGGTGTGTGGGAGGTAAGCGTGGCTGCCTCCTGTGGGCATCTGCACACTGCCCGGGAGAAAGCGTCTTCCAATAGGAATTATATCAAGGCATGGCTAAAAAGAGTCTTTGCCTCGGGTTAAGGAACTGGTGCAAGCCCTTTTAGGTGAAAGGTGTACATTTTTGGACTTTAAGGGGGGAAAAAAGCAAAAGGTGTCTTGACTCTGGATTTAAAGGGCGTGGTTAGTGTTTTTGGTTTGAGTTGTACGGTTAAAACTGTTCTGGGAGATTTTAAGATTGAGGGAAACCCTGCTGATTGAGGACAAGGTGGATATCTGGATAGATGCGTAGCTGGTAAAAACCAAAAATTTTGTCATTGATACAGAATTACTTCAGAACTCTTTCCCTAGGAAAATAACTTTGCATTCTTCTTCAATGCCTACCAGTTAACGTTTTATCAGATTGTCCTGCTACCGACCTGTTTTCCAAGGTGGTTGTACTGCAGGTTCCTAGAATTGAAAGAGATCTGTATTAAAGAAGCAAATGCAGGCAGGAATAATCGAGATGACTGAACCTACCAGAAGTATAACTTTTGTCAGAAATACTGTAAAAATGTGTTTTAATGGATGGATACTTAGCTTTCCTTTCAGTGGCTCTAAAATATTGGAACAAAGACCAGGACTCAGCCTACAGTGGGAACGTATGGTGTACCTCATTGCTGCTCCTTATTCTCTCATTTGTGTCCGATAATATTTGTACATTTTAAAAAAGTACAAGAGCTGTGCGAGGACCTTTTCTGTTTAGGGAGTATGTGCTAAATGGTTACCCTTAGTATGGGTAATGATGGGTTCAGAGTTAAAACACATGATAGTATCATAAAATAATAGTTTGTTCTTGGTATTAAACCATGTGTGATTTCTTTGAATGTGATTAAATACGTATGGATGAAAATATGTTTTGATACTAGGTAAAGGTGAAAGTTGCACCTACCCTTGTGTAACTGTGACAAAATTACAGCCTTTTCGTTGTAGAAAAGTATGTAAAAAGCTATTTGCCTAGTTCATTTCTCTTTTCTTTTTGTTAAGAGGTTCCCCAGATTATATGGCTTTTAATCATAGTAGCATATTGCAGCACATTTTGCTCTAAAATGCTTTCGTTATGACAATTGTATATTTCAGAGTCTACCTGAATACTTTAATCTGGATTTTTTTGAACTAGGGTCAATAAAATGAAGGAATTACTTTCTATTTTCTTGTTCTCATGCTTTCCTGATTTATTTATGATTTTTGGATTTTGTTTCTGTAATGCATGCAAAATTCCTGTTTGAAAAGAAATGGCTGGAAGGAATTGTCTTCATAGCTTAAAGTTCAGTCCTACTGCGTGCTGATACTGATAAACCTGAGTGATTTATCAATGTATACGCTCCTCCCCTCCAGCACCCCCTCCCAGACGCCAAAGAAATATATAGACTGACAAATCTTAGAAAAACAGCTGCTATTAGATTGTCCCCAAGCAGATCAGGTTAAGTATTAGAAGCAGCAAAGATCTTAGAAGAAAGAAAAAGCAACAGTAACCACTAAACTTAGCAGCCATGGTAAGGATCCGATTTTATGTTTGCTACATCATGGGAGAGTCTATTAATTCACATAGCTGATATGACCCTGTGAAAATGATTTTAGGGGAAAAAAATGGGTACTGCAGTGTAGTGAAGCTTGGAAAAGATTGTGTTTGCCCTTGTTGTTTGTGACTAAGTGGATTGTCCTGAATCAGTCTTAGATTCTCTCTCAGACTCTGCTACTGGTTCATTTTGTGAAATTGAATACCTGCTGTCACTGGGCTATTTCCTCCATGTAATAATAATTAATAATAATATTGAATGAAGTTCTTTCAGAGCCTTTATTAAAAAATCTTTTTGAAAGGATTTGGTTGATTATTATCAGTTAATAACCAAGTAAATGGGATAGAGAATAAATACCAAAACAGTTGAAATTCACATGTACTTTGAATCCCAAGTATTTATAGGTCTTTTGCTCTGAGGTTTCATAAATGATAGCATCTCATTAGGAATAAATGAGTTTGTGGTATTAGAGTACTGGATTTTTCGCCTGTTTCCAACATTTGGATCCTTTTTATTGTGTCAGTGAAAGAGATTGGGTTCCTATATCATTTGGGAGTAAGAAGACCATGTTTTTATCATCTCCAATGATAAGGGAGAAAATAATTGACAGTAATGGTACCTGGGTATTTGTTACGTTGAACTCTTTGGCACGTTTTAAATTGGTGTTCACGTTAAATCAGATAATCTGAAGACATCTTGATTGTATGTTACTGGTGTTGAGAAGATTCACTATATGACAGTTTATAATTTTATGTAAAGTACTACCTAGGTTAAAAGCATATTATTTATTCTGCTCTTAAGTTTTACTGTTTGTGTATGGCTATCAGTGAGTATATATATGATAAAAAAGAAAAACCAATGGAGTGCAGAATGACCTTCTTGAATGGAAGATGCTCTGAGGATTAATGTTCTTTAGCCAAAAGACTTGGTTAGTTTCAAATTACAATATACTTTGGATTTTTTTTAATTTAAAACTCTGACTCTAAACCTATTGAGTAAAAATAATTGAGTAGCATGGATTTCTCTGTCGAACAGGAGGATTCACTGATGCATGTAGCACAAAAGAACAGGACTTAAAGGTTCAAGATCAAATGGTTTTGGTGCGGTGGGGGATAGATGTGAGGAAAACTGAGAAACATACCCTTAGCAAGAGAGAACAGAGATTGGATCTTTTTTTGTTAAATGCCTGTAACTGATTCCATGGCCTTTTTTTTCCCCCATCGTTAATTTCTGGAGCCCTGTATCCATGGTAGAAGACAGTACTTTCCTACATTGTCATTTTAACTGGAGTCAGACTGACGTTAATTCATTAGATTTTTTAATCATCATGGGTTATTAAAGCAAAGCAGAAAAGATTCTGCATGTATATATTCACTTCTAAGTGAAGCATTATTATTTGGACATAGTATTAAAAAGAAACAAAAACCTAAAATGATGTTTCCCCCCTTAATAACAGAGGTACTTGAACCAGACGCTAAAGATGAATAAGACTCCTCTTCCCCCACTTTTAAAGCAGACTCCTAAGGTTAAACACTGCTTTGTGGATCAGGATTAATTATTATACAAAGGCAAGCATTTGTTTTCATTTTGTTTTCCATCTTACCTGTAATGTTTTCAGAATTTATGTCTTAAAGTTTGGTAAGTGTTTTTTCAGCAACTAGATTATTAGCTCTTGGAGATTATGTCCTTACTTCTTTCCTATCTCCTTCTCGTTCTGAGCGCCTTATATCATGCTCAGCATAAAGAAGTAGCCTTGTAACCACTTACTGAACTAGAACTATCGGCCAGCACTTCTGTAATGTACGCGTTGAGACATCTTGCACTTTGATAGACAAGAGTCAGTTGACCTTGTGGAATAATCACTATACATTAGGCCCTCTGAGAATGTCTTTGTTCTGCTTAGCCTTTGCAAAAGTGTCCATTGAGCCCAGTTTGACTCAGATTGTGTGGGCTGCAAAGACTTATCTACAACTTTGTGGGCCAGTGTTTCTAAATTCATCCCAGAAAGAGGGAATGTGGGTGGGGGAAAGGGCTCTCCCACTGTGGCACCCAAGGTCTGCGTTTTACAGCCGGGGAGACTGCAGCTCACCAGCATTGTACCTCAAGTAAAATACCTTTGTTGAAGCTTATCTATAAAAAGCATATTTCATTTTATAAAAACTGAATTTGCTCTTACATTTTTCTAATCATTCTTTCCAAAAGAAAAAAGAAGAAGAAGAAGAAGAAAAGAAGTCAGACTGATTGTGTTTTAAGCACATGTGGAGTTGGGCATTTATTGTTTTCTGCATTTGACCTTCCAGAAACAAATTTATCTGGTTAAGGTTAAAATTAAGCATTCAAATGTGATTTTTTTCATTATTGTAAGACCTGTAGAATTCCAGTTAATTGTAAATAGTTCTTTACTAGTAAGTTTAATAGTAGCAGATATTTAACTGTCTTTTGTTTGCTTTTTCACATACTTTGACTATTATGCTGATAATTACAAATTGGCCTAGAAGTGATGATTGATTAATCTTCCTTGTTCGTGTTCCTTAGGCATTACTCTCAATGCTTAGCCCTTTGCCTTGTGTAGTTATCTGAGTTCGTAACTGTCCTCCACACCAGATGCTTAGTATCTTTAGCACTAAAACTGAGTTTCATTCACCTTTGTATTTGTTTCGAGAGCTTTATACATAGTCTATACTTGGTAACAATTTGTTTAAATATTTGACAACCTATAATGAAGCATCATTTCACGTTTTTCACAAACAAGTACAACTAGAAAAATGAATTTTTCTTAGACATCTGGTTTCGCACCAAAGTCAGCCCTCTGCCCACAGGAGTTGCTTATAGTAGAGCTAAATATAAATATCACTGTCTTTTGTTGGATTTCTGAATGAATAGAGCAAACATTGCTATTACCTGCAACCTTGCATATGTGTACTTCAGATGTAGATTTCTTAATTGGGTGCCGTTTGGAATTTGTGTGGTCTGTCCTTGCTTTGAACTTGGCTGACCTAAAGATGTACTTTTAAGTAACATTGTCCACACATATAGACACATTCTGTGACTTTTTTTTCTTGACACATAGCAATAGAGACTTAGAGAAAAATAAATAAGTGTAGTATGAGACTTTATCGTAACTAAAATTTACTTGGTCTTCAATATTCAGTTTTCAGTGAAATGGTTGCTTTGGGAGGCCTTCTTCAGGCTTCTTAAACCTAAATTATACAGGTGGTTGTCTTCTGTGAGGCAGCATCAGGAAGGGATGAGTTCTGAGATTTGGCATGAAGAGTGCTCAGTACTGGCCTTCTGAAGTGTGCACATACCTCCAGCTCCACCCACTGCTTTGAGGCCCCCTTCTGGTTCGGCCTAGGAAAGGAGCCTTCTGAGCTCCTCACAGCTCCTAATTTATGGGAAGGACGTCAGATGGAATTT